AGCTTGCCTTTATCTTTTTAATGTATTTTATCAAATAAAAGTACTTTTCTATGAGCAGAGACTTTTGGATCCTTTCAACCCCCTTTTTCTTTTCTTTTTTTGGCCCGAGTTTGGCCAAATTTTATTTTTTCGTTTTAATTTCATTTGAAACCCAACCTTAAAACCCCAACCCATTCCCGTGGATTTACCCACCTGCATGGAGGAGGAGGAGGAGGAGGGAGAACGCCCCTGGACGACGGTTCGGCGTCAAAGGGGGCGCGGGACCCAGTACCAGGTAGAACCCAGACCTCACTTTGGTGGGGAAACTCCGTGGCCCAAAAGAACGAGGGGCCCCTCGTATGCCGAAGTCACAGCCGGCACCCGCCGTCCCCCTCCACCTTCCTTTCGGCGCGGCGAGATGGAGGACCAGAGGGGACAGCGGAACCGAAGCAGAGGCCGAAATGGACCGGGTCAATTTCGGTACCCCCGCTCTGAATATAACTAACTTTAATCAACAGGGTGAGATGAACAGACCTGTCCACCCAGTTATTGACTCTCAGGACCCGAATTTTACCATTAAGTTAAGAATTATCCATGGAATAATTCGGTCAGTCCACCATTCTCAGAATGTCCGCGGGAGGGAGGCACCCCCCACAATAAAAAGAATGACAGTTAACTTGGCCACTTTCATTGAGCCTGCCGCTCCAAATGAACAGACCCAATTACTTCTGGAGGGCAGTGCACGTTATTGGGAGATGACCACCCACGCCTTACTACACAGGACAAGTTACCACCCCAAACATACTTGCAAAGGACTTATCAAATCACAACTTTTACGTTTACATAGAATTTGCACCAGACCGGAAGATTTCAAAACTGCCACCACCATCCTTTTTACGGCCCTCAGGGGGCGGGGTTACACCCGCTCCTGCCTCAGGACTTGCTTAAAAACATTTTTGGACACCAAACCCGCCCCAGTAAACATTCTCCCCCTCATTACTACTTCCACAATTTATTTCAATTACTTCATTAAAAATAATTACAAACAAAAGGTCAACCCCAATCAACCCTACCAGGACATACGGATCATTACAGCCTTCAGAAAGAACAAGAATCTTAAAGACCACCTCGTCCGCGCCATCATTCCCAAACAATATCCGGACAAAAGAGAAATCAATCACAACTACTTCAAACAACAACATTGGATTAAGAATCACTGGACTGGAGAAATATTTCGGACACCCATACATGGCAATATTGACACTACAAACTGTATTTATGTAATTCTGTGCAATAACTGTAATTTAAAATATGTAGGGGACACAGGGCGCACCGTCAGAGCCAGAATCTACACACACAAACAAAACATCATCCACAAGAAAAACACACAGACACCTCGTCAAACACATCCTGTCACATGGGTGGGAGGCCATCAAGGTTTCCATTCTTCAGTCAAACCCCCATTGGACCATCAAACAAAGAAAATACAACGAAAGACTCTGGATCACAAAACTCAAAACCACTTACCCCCATGGCCTTAATGAGAGAGCACCTCCCCCACAGAGGACAACCGGACCCTAACTCAAACCCACTTCACACCCTTTCGTTCCACATTCACTGTATTATTATGATTTCCTTATAATCCTTCAAAATATTTTTCTTTTCAGATGACTTCTCACCTGAGGAGTTTTCATCCCCTGGTTTCTAATTTGCATAACCCATTATTAACAATAAGGTTTTTTTTCCATATTTTATTTTGAAGGTACGACAGAATCCGGATGGCGAGTGCATGGGTCGTGCTAATGCAGGACGCAGTCAGCACGACCCATCCCCTCTTTCCTAACCCTAACCCCTAACCCACGAGTTCCATTCCTCCTCCTTTTTTTCTTACTGTTTTTATGTCCATCCAGACCTGAAGGGAGGCGCTGTCTCTCCTTCCCCAGACCCCCAGACTGCACCCTGATGAGGGACAGGGACCCACCCGGCACCCGCCCAACGGCCCAGACCACAGACGCAGAGAGAGCGTTTCCTACGAAGGATATCCTCTGCTTTTAATTGTTTTTAGCAAGCCTACCCGCCTGATGAAGATCCCGTATGGGATTGAAACTTAGCGGTTTTTATGCTTGCTATTTTAATTTTCTTTATTTTTTTATTTTTTGTATTTATTTTAATAAAAGTACTTTTTTAGAACGAAACACTGTGGCGCATTTTACTCGGTAATTTTTAGCCCTCGCTGGGTGGACTTTTATGTTTTAATAAAGGTCTTAATAAAGGTTTTAACAGCCTTATTACCCGGACACAAAATGCCGCCTTACCTCATGGAAGAGGAACGGGACGAACCCTGGACCACCATCCGATACCGGAGAGGACGTAGGAACCGGCGGACCCAAGAACCCAGGACCTACGAGGACAGGAGAACCCCACAAAGCCG